GGTGCGGGTCGCCGGCGCCGGCGCGCGCAGGGCTTTGGAGGGGGAGAAGAAGAGCGCAGCGCGAGCGTCTTGTGTGCTGCGCGCGGAAGCGGGCGCCGCAAATACACCGCGCGAGGTACCGCTTCCTAGCGCGGGCCAAACTGCTTGTACCGCGCGCGTGGTTATTACGCGCCCGCTGGAGCCATCCGCCGAGTTGCGCGCGCGCTAAAACGGGGGATTTTACGGCGCGGCACCTATTTAGCGCGCCTGTTGGAGATGCTCTTAGTTGGTTAGTGGCCAAGCACGGTGTCCAGCTTGTGGGTACATGAGTCCTCTGTACTGCTATTTACACCGTTGTGGTGCTGTGTAGAGAGGTGCAGTAGCTAGAAGAGGAGATGTAGTCTCCAATGGTTAGTGCGTGCGTGTCCGGAGAGAAGCTAGGAGAGTTGTAGTCTCCAGTAGGTCTCCCGTGTGTATCTGGTGTTGGTTTGTTTCCGAGCCATGGTGTTTGTGCGCTGAATAGGCCGTATGTGCGACAATGGCGTTTGTGCGCCGGTAAACCACCACCGTGTCTTGTGTATCCTCTTTCTTTCACCTTCGTTCATGCGAGAGAGACAGAGCAAGAGGGAGCTGGGCACCGGCACAAAGAGCAAGATAGGGCTCGGCGCCAACAGAGAACGTCTTAGATTACGGGATGAAGGGAGTAAGTAGTAACTTTATGTAGTGTTTGTTTTGTTTTTACCCTGAATATCATCAGAATCATTTCTTCTTCAAACTTTACACACGAGTATAATCCTAGGGTTGGCAAAAAAATCCAGACTTATTTTACATTTTTACTATTTCTTTTTGAATTCTAGTACATGTGCACCCATGTTCACCATTGCATTTTGGCCATGATCCGACTAATCATGTTCCAAGAACTACTTTCTTTGTCATGTGTTACTGAACCCACATATTATGAATTAAATTTTGATCAACAATGTAACTAACAAAATAGCAAGTACATGCCACAAAAGCTAATATTGGTATTAAGAAGAGGTTTCTCAAGGTATAATTTTTGTGACATATAATTCATATTTTATCAATTAAATATATAATCTCCACTAACCAATTAACAGGCAACCATGCCATCATGCATGGAAAATGGCTACCGCCACATGCAAATACTTGACCTGTTTACTTTATTTTGCATAATTGGATGGAAAAGGCCCACCACACCATGCAACTATGCAAAAAAAAAATGCATTTTCTTTTATGTAGCTCATATTCAATATATATAATTCACCACAAAAATATATTTTGCAACTCTATAATAATAAAAATAATAATCCTTATCTACCATTCTTAAGAAGTTGCTCCCCATTACTCCCTATTCTCTTGTCATGCACACCGTCCACATGAGCGATGTGCGATGTAATTATTAAGTTTCCAAAAGCGGCCAATTATCTTTACTTGATGGGAATTTGTAATTTTCGAACGTTCTATTTTGTCATTAGATCCGAACGATCTCCCGCCGCTCGATCCGCGTCGCGTGGGAGCTCGGACAAAAACACTAACCAAATATGTCATCATGCCATCATGCATGGAAAATGGCTACCGCCACATGCAAATACTTGACCTGTTTACTTTATTTTGCATAATTGGATGGAAAAGGCCCACCACACCATGCAACTATGCAAAAAAAAAATGCATTTTCTTTTATGTAGCTCATATTCAATATATATAATTCACCACAAAAATATATTTTGCAACTCTATAATAATAAAAATAATAATCCTTATCTACCATTCTTAAGAAGTTGCTCCCCATTACTCCCTATTCTCTTGTCATGCACACCGTCCACATGAGCGATGTGCGATGTAATTATTAAGTTTCCAAAAGCGGCCAATTATCTTTACTTGATGGGAATTTGTAATTTTCGAACGTTCTATTTTGTCATTAGATCCGAACGATCTCCCGCCGCTCGATCCGCGTCGCGTGGGAGCTCGGACAAAAACACTAGTGTGATGTGTAGGATTCGAACCTTGCACCTCTTGGCAGCGGGCCGAGCTAGCTAACCACCTCGCATAACTTCCGTTTCTTAAAAGGATTAAAACAAACAAGTTATTTAACATGTCTACTCTACTACGTTTGCACAAAAACAAGTTGGTCCAGTTTCTGATTTTTTTGGCACTTAATTAGATTGGTACCCATCGAAGTTAGTGATCGGCGAACCAGCAACCTAGCTCGTCCATTCACCCCTTTGGTTTTTAAAGGTTATTTGGTAAATGTTTCGATTTTTTGGAACGTCGTTGAATGTCTTGCTCGATACCAGCGGTAACTCATGTGTAAATTGCATGGTAACTGTTTGCTG